TACCCACAAAGGATCAGACTTCAGAGACAACTATTCGGAATTTATACTGACTTTTTTCTTGCAAATATGATTCCCTGAAACTCTGTTTCTTTCTTTTACAAATCAATAAATAACCAATTTAAAGACAATATTCAGAACAGAAGGAATAAATTATTCTTGAAATTGACATATTTTAAGAGTTTTAACTCGTCTTTAAAGTTTTATCCTTTGTGGGTAACCCAGTGTTGCTAACTGGTCTGCTAACTCTTATCTCTCTCTCCTTGGATATCTCTCATCCTACAACTGTAAGATCCATGTACCATCGTATATAGGAACTTATCAACATTATATTCATCAATCTAATCTTCTCACACAGAATCATGTTAATACCATCTCTGAGTGGTCAAGGAGCAATAAAATGATGCTAAACTCTGCTAAATCCAACTACATGATATTTACCCGGAGATATGGTTCACTCTGTATGCAAGGCTGAATCTGATGGTAATATTCTAGAAAAAGTTTCAGCAACCAACCCTCTAGGTGTTTGGCTAACTGAAGATTTAGATTGGAACTAAATACGTCAGAGCTGTGAAAAAAAACATATTCTCGAATATTTTTGTTGTGCAAATAAATATGTTGGTATGTCTACTGAGGATCTACTCAAATGTCTACTATGTGAGACATAACAAAGTCAGTAATTTTTAGACCCTGTTGACCTCCGTGTGTGGAGCACTGAGGTCATAAAGTTTTGACCTTTTCAAATTACCATAACTTTTTGCTATTTGAGATATCGACCTAATTTTAACGTCATTCAATGAATAAGGCTTTATTTGTTGGCTGATTTCAAATGCATGATTTCAAATGCATGCTTTCTAAATAAATAAAAATAATGAAATAAACTGTTTCTCTCTAAAAATTATAACTTAACAAATTATCTGTTTCTATATAATTAATGTTAAATAATAAACTGAACTATATGTTTTCTTCAAATTAAATAATAAATACTCGTACACTGTTTCCAACTATGATGAAAAATGCAACTAATCAAACTATAATGAAACTGCAGTTTGTGTTTCAAGTTTCCTGCTTCTCCGCCCTGCAACCCTGCAATTTCAGGCTCAGACATATCAATCCAAATGTGGAGCAAACCTGGGTTTTTACTCCGGGTACTCAAAACTATGCATCCATCCCAGCAGTGGAACTGCTAACCTGGAGTTCAAAATCGCAGAACCAGGTCATGGTTTAAAACTCTATCCTGTTGAAATTAGTAGAAACCCCTTCCTTAATTTTACCAATCTACCGCTTAAAAACCTGATAAAAAGAGACTGTTCACCACGAAGAATTGAGTCTTTGCTACAAACTCACATTTTCTAACTCCTAATTATTTGGAACCGGATGGTTTAAAACTAAGATTTTTCAAACTTAGTTTATTTAATCTAACAAAAATCATAGTTTGAAATATCTAATCAAAATTGCAAAAATAAAGGGATTAGAAAATTAAAGTTTGTGGCAAAGACTCAATTCCTTTGAATGACTCGATATTGCGTGAATAGAATATTAAAAATATGTCATTAATTGCAAACAGTTTTTTTTTACATTTTCGTTTAATTTAACATTTATACACAAAATCTATTTTTCTTGCAGACATGTATGTACGTTTATATGCAAATATGCATGTTTAAATTATACACATTTTCAAAAATTAGTTGTAATTTTTTTTTCATCGTATGCGTTCTTGAGAAATTTGATTGCAGTTATTGATGAAGATATAAAATTATTGACTGCAGAATTTACAAAAAGTTATATTATATTATGTATTCTCCGAATTTACATTAGATGATATCATATTTTGAGTTCCATGTATGTATAGAAATCTAGGTCTTCTCACAACCCAGACACCAGACCATTTTTTGCAGACAGATTGATAGAGAGATAGATAGAAAGATAGATAGACAGATAGACAGATAGATAGATAGATAGATAGACAAATAGACAACGGACGAAAAGACGGATAGCTAATTAAATTGACCAATGTTTAGAAACCTGTTGCTGAAATCTGCCAGTTTCAGAGAACAGCATGTTTGTGGTGTTTTGTGTAGGATTTGAGGAACCTGATAGAATACAGAAACAATCCACAATCTTGTAAAATGCGTGTAGTAATAATATTTCTTGACCAAGAACAATCTTTTACATTATTGAGGCTAAAACTTTTTGTATTTCTCACTGTTAAGATTGACGCTATGTCTCCGCCTCCTGTTCTCCAACCGCCACAGCCGCTACTCTTCGCCATTTATGTGCTCCATTAATGCACATTGCTCAACGTTTGAATCTAATCATTATTTTTCTGAACCAGGGGAGCTCCTGTGAAAATAGCCTGAGCTATATTGTAGCTCCCCGGCCACAAAATATATATATAATTGTCTAGTTATTTTTATTAATATGAATTTGTTGTAAATTTGTGGCCCAATAAATGATTTGATTTAATTTGATTTGATTTGACATAAAATATCCAGCAAAAGGTGTTTTCCAATCCGCTAAACAATCTGTAGGATTGTTTTTTTATATTCAAATAGATTATCAAGAACAATTGGTGGCAAATGAACCAATTATACACGACGTCACAAGTGTCCAATATAACAAGGAAAACGAATGTTTCTCACATTAATAGACACGTTTTCCAAGATTAAATAAAAAAGTGTAAATAGAGAACACCTAAAAATGCACTTATTTACTGTAAGATAAACACTTTATTCTAAAATTATCACTCTTATTAATAATTGTGTAGGACACAAAAATTGAATTGACACTTGTGACGTCAGAATACAGCCGTACTGAGAGTGTACAAATTCTATCTATTTAAGAATACAGCTGTACTGAGGAGAGTGTACAAATTCTATCTATTTAAGAATACAGCTGTACTGAGGAGAGTGTACAAATTCTATCTATTTAAGATTACAGTTGTACTGAGAGTGTACAAAAACTATCTATTTGGTTATATTTGTAACCCATCCTTTTCTCTCGCACTCCCTTTAAGTTTAGAGTTATAGTTTCCTCTGTAGCAGTTTGTTGGGTTTATGTTGATTTTGCGTAGAGTAGACATAATTTGAGGCTTTTGCACTCAATACTTACCTTGCAAAAACCTTGCACACTACACACGTGATAGTTGTGATAAACTAGGAAGTTGAGAAATCCGAAATAAATATGTCCAGAGCTGAACACTCTAGAATGGTGGATATTGAGATTAATGCTTGATCTTCTCATTTTCTTAATCTCGAGACTAACCTAATCTTGTACTCGTATCTTGAAAAAACGGGAGGGACTCTCTAAATTAAAAAAAACGGTTTTTCATTTTTCTCTACTATATCAAAGAAAGAACGGTTTAACAAGAAAATCAAAAGTGTGTCCTTTGATACTCAGTTCAAGTAATCGGGATTAAGGATATCTCATTCTAAAGTTTTCAGCTGCTCAGAATAAGTAACATAGTATCAAATAGATTGTATGTTGGAAATATAAAAAGATGTTGGAAATATGAAACATGTTTGAAATATAAAAACATGCTGGAAATATGAAACATGTTTGAAATAGGAAAAATGCTGAAAATAGGAAACATCTTGGAAATAGGAAATATACTGAAAATAGGAAACATGTTGGAAATAGGAAATATTCTGAAAATAGGAAAAATGTTGGAAATAGGAAACATGTCGGAAATAGGCAACATGTTGAAAATAGGAAAAATGCTGAAAATAGGAAACATGTTGGAAATAGGAAATATACTGAAAATAGGAAACATGTTGGAAATAGGAAATATGCTGAAAATAGGAAGAATGTTGGAAATAGGAAATATTCTGAAAATAGGAAAAATGTTGGAAATAGGAAACATGTCGGAAATAGGCAACATGTTGAAAATAGGAAACATGTTGGAAATAGGAAACATGTTGGAAAAAGGAAATATGTTGGAAATAGGAAACATATAGGGAAAAAGAAACATACCAGGAAAAGGAAAACATACCAGGAAAAGGAAAACATACCAGGAAAAGGAAAACATGTTAGGAAATAAAAAATAGAAGGAAGAGAAAACATATTGGTCGGAAACGAAAAACATATTGTAAAAAAGAAACATGTTGGAAAAGGGAAATATATTGGCCGGAAACGGAAACATTGAAAAAAAACATGTTGGAAAAATAAAAAAATAAACATTTATTACATTATTACATTAAAAAACATGCCAGGACATATTCAGGAAGATGTTTAGACTTGTCTTTGAATAAATGTGTAAATAAGAATTAGATTGTAGAGAGAAACTATTCCAGGAATGTGAAACATGGTGGGAAAAGTATTTAATCTACTTTTGTTAATTCTATTAAATAAATATTTAAAAATCAAAAAGAAATGAATACTTTTCTGATTATTAGTCCTTTAATATTCTTATTTATTTAACGAGTTTTTATAAACAAGTTAAAGCAGTTTAAAATCGGTAACGTTTAGAGAAGATGGAGATAGGGGGTAAGCGGGAGGGGGGGGGGGAAGGGGTGTGTGTGTGAGAAGTATGAAAAGTGAGTGTGTGTGAGTGTAATTATGATAAGTGCCTGTGTGTGAGTGTAAGTATGAAAAGTGAGTGGGGGTGAGTGTAATTATGAAAAGTGAGTGTGTGTGAGTGTAATAATGAAAAGTGAGTGTGAGTGTAATTATAAAAAAGTGAGTGTGTGTGAGTGTAATTATGAAAAGTGCGTGTGTGCGAGTGTAAGTTTGAAAAGTGAGTGTGTGTAAGTGTAAGTATGAAAAGTGAGTGTGTGTGAGTGTAATTATGAAAAGTGAGTGTGTGCAAGTGTAAGTATGAAAAGTGAGTGTGTGCAAGTGTAAGTATGCAAAGTGAGTGTGTGTGAGTGTAATTATGAAAAGTGATTGTGTGCAAGTGTAAGTATGAAAAGTGAGTGTGTGTGAGTGTACGGAGGATAAGCTGGCATAGCGCCATACTTCAACGTAATCTAAGGAGAGTAGTCTGCGTGTTTTGAGTATGCGTGTGTGTATAGGAGGAGAGAGAGAAAATACAAGATGGGGAATAGGTTCCCCCCTTTTCCCCATCTTCCCCCCTGTGAACCCACGCATGCGTTAGTTTTCTTGCCGGGATCCGAGCTCCCCCCTCTAGCCCTCTACAGTGGTTACAGATATCTCTAGAGGAAGCTCTCATTTAGTCAATATCAGGCATGGAGTTAGGACATGAAACTAATCCAGCTCCGGACTGAAACATGTTTTCTAGAATACGCCTCCTCCTCCTACTCCTCCTGGCAGGAGGCGTGGTTAGTGAACCAGGGAGGTGGGACCAGCATAGGCGTAGGTCAAGACCCTCTCTCCCTCCCTCTACTACAGTGAGTCCAACTAAGCGACCAGAGAAACTCTGGACACATGGATTGAGTTTAAACCCTCCCCTTCATAGATGTCAGATATCCTCGCAGACAACTCTTCCCAACGGACTCCCTGTTAATTACGAGTATGTGAGAAGTGTTAAAGAACTCCTGCTAGAGGATAAACTCCTGTTATCTCCTGTAGTGATTGAAGGAGTGATGGTGTCGAGAACAAACACCTACAAAGGACTTTATTTTGTATCCTTTAAAGTTGTGAAGGTTGTGAGAGGTCGGGTTAGCTCCCAACTCCATGGGCATATACGCCTTCTATTTCAGACAGAACAAGGACCCTCTGGTAGGGCGGAGCTCAGGGGTAATGCTTGCCCCCCAGTTCCCTTTAATGTCCGAACAGGACGAAAATACCTTTTATTTGTGAAAAAGATTTCTGCAGGAAGATACGCAGCAGTTGCTGTACCGGAGCAAGTAAAGGAGAAAAGTCGGAAAGCTATTTTGAAAACTTTCTGTCCGGGAACTGCTGGGTGCGGTAAGTTTCATCTGATAATTAGTTGACCCAGTCGTTCCGGTATATAGATATACTTCCTCTTTATATATATATATATATATATATATATTTACATATATACATTACATACATGACATTAAAACGGCCGAACCAATCTCAGATGACCCAAGGGAAGGTTTTAAAAAAATCTCTTAATATTTATATGTATACATTTTTTATATTATAGATACAGATACAGATACAGATACTTCATGAAATTCTTTAATCTTCTCTTTTTCCTGATTTACCTTCTCGATATTTCCTACATTTTAAAGCCATTCATTCTGCCATATTTAAGCAAGAAAAGCAGATGATCAAAAACTACTTAATCAAAGTGAAGAGTTTATAAATCTACCTTTCGCAATTTATATATCTTTACACAAGCTTAGAAACCCAGCTTTGACTGGTTACTAAATTTCCCCTGGAAAAGTGGACCTTACCAGCTTAAAATTTTAAATCAATCAATCAAAATTTGAGGGTTCCTGAGTTGTAATAGGACATCGAAACAAACAGAGATGACTTCTTCATAAATACAGATAATATATTTCTGTGCTTGTTTGTTCATAAATAATAAACTCCTCCACCGATTTGCTTAAAATTTGCTTGGGGAGCTCGTTGAAACCGTTGTGTTGAACATTTTATGTTTAGAAGATCGACAAAACTTAGTTTCCATGCAAAGCTGGGTTCCCAAGCTAGTTAATTATATATCTATATTTTGTATTGTATATTTCATATACATCTATATATTAGGTTATTCTATATATATTGATACTCAAAGGAACGGACGGATCAGAGGAAACGTATTAATGGCCGAAATTTTTCGTAAACTTCTGAATCCTTTTCTTTCTTTTCTAATTTTATCCTTGTTTCCTGACAGCATGTAGAGAGGAAAGTACAAACATATTTATGTCTACTAATGATATTAGAAATTGCACTGATACTGCATACTGCAATGTTAAACTATATAATATAACAGGAAAATGATAGATATGGTGAATTATATGTAAAAGGATATCTAAACAAAGCAGAAAAATTGTTGACAATTACAGATTTTCATAATGCGGATATTTTTATTTGTAGTTTTTGGTATTTGTAAAAAGGAACTAAGTTCTTGCCACAAACTCTGATATTTTAATCCCTATATCTTTGCAACCCGATATATTTAGCCTTTGATATTTAAAACATAATCTGTTCAGAGCTGTGAATTTTATAATGGGATACCGACTACTTAATACAAATATCCAATGTGGACACTTTTATTTTCTTACTTAATCCACTTTTTTTGGATATAATATACAGAAAAATCAAAAAACCATTTTTTCAAAATTAGAGAGTCCCTTCCGTTTCTATATATTAATCTTAACTGGCGCGCAAAATTTCAAAATTCCCGGCTTCTGATTCCCGACTCTAATTGGTTAAAACACTTTTCAGGGATACAAGCACAGGATTAGGTTAGTCTCGAGATTAAGAAAATGAGAGGATCAAGCATTGATCTCGATCAAATACTCTTCGTTTTTATTGTCAAATACACAATCAGCTTCCAAATAAAAGGGATTTTCAAAATGGTAACTCCCCCCCCCCCCATATTAAATAAAAACTCCAATGTTGATTTTATAAATGTTTTATAGAAGCACGTGGAGAATAGATAGTTGCGTTTATTTATCTTAAGTACATAGATAAATAGATAGATAGATAGCTAGATAAATAAATAGATAGATAAATGGATAGTGAGAAGCTTTAAGTAAAGAATGTTTTATTTCAATTTTGAACAGCTTTGAGACTGCTAAACATTTCTCACAGAATTATGCTTTTCTTTTTTTTCTACAAAAAAAATAAAAAAGTACGAATCAGAAAATAAAGTTGTTGTAATATCTCCTAAATTCTGCTGACACTGGCCTAAATTTTATGCAATAAAAAATATGCATTTTATAAACAATGCAAGGCATGCATTATACGTTAAATGGGTGCACTGCTGTTGAATGATAAATATTTCTATGAAACTATAGTGTACTTTGTCATTATTAATCACTTCATTGTGAATTTCATAATGCACGTGCTATAAAGTAATCATCGTGCTATAATGTTAAATTAGCTGTATTATATATAGCACGTGTACTTTTAAGTTTTGATTAGTTCCCGGATTTTCTCCAAAATATTTCGGATTTTTCCAAAACATTTTGTCCATCGCTAAAGCTCGGGACAAAATTAAATCTAAAAGAGCCTTCTCGATAAATAGAAAATTTCTGTCCAAAAACTTTATAAAACTGCGAACCAAAATAACAGTGATATAAATAGTTATTATTTATATTTAAATTATTAATTCTATAAACATTGAACTTTAAACTTCTTTTCATTTAAAACTCATTTAATAATTTACTTATTATTATTAACCCCTTTTCCGATTGGGCTATTTTTGTCTGATATATATGGGGGGGCTCACCCCCCCCCCCTATGATTTTGCCCTTACAGTTGAGATAGAGGAGTGTGATACATGTCCCTAGTCCAACTTTTAAAGGCCTGCTCATTAAAAAAATTCTACCTCTAACTTTAATGGTTAGGGTGTAAGAGAGGATTTTTAAAATGTTCAAAAATATTTATTTTTACTTTTAACAAATATTAACACATGACAATTGTTACTTTATCTATTTTTCAAGGTCTTTTCAAATATATAAGTCTTAATCCTGTAGCTTAATTAATAAAAAAGTTATTAACCATTTCTGACTTTTCTTAAACACCGACCCGACGTTTGACCACTCTCCACCCAAACCTGTGAATAACAACAAAATTTTTGCTAAATTTGTTCACAACTATGATGTTGAAAAAGTGAAGAAGTTTTAGTGTTCCAATGTAAGCTGTTTTTAAGTTACTAGGCTTTTAGGGCGCTTCGCGACCATCTTCTTTTTCAACTTTTAATTGTGGCTTTATCTCTGAATTTCTTCTCTTTGTACAGTATAAAACAAAATCAAAAAAAGTTTGCGGATTTCATAATATTTTTTTGCGCATTTTCAAAATTTTTCAAAAATAAAAAACTTTTAAACACAAATTTTTAAAATTTTGACCATTCATAAACCTTCCCTGGGGTCCTTAGATGTCCCACAAAAAATTTGGGCCCGATCGGTTCAGCCGTTTTGACGTTTATTGGATACAAACAAACAAGAAGACAAGCCAAATTTAAATATAGACTAGAAATTCAAGGCGCTTCGCGCCCTTCTTTCTAGCCTTAGAGGGCGCTTCGCGCCCATCTTCTAAATTAGTTGTGAACATGTTCTCTTTGTGTACATCGTAAAACAAAACAAAAATAATTCGCGGATTTTTGGTTAAATAATAAAGTAAAGTATATAAAACACCGATCTTTATAATAAATATCCTCGTCTTCCCTCCCACTTCCCATAATTCTGCACATTTTCAAAATCTGCAAAATTCTTTTTGATGCTAAAGGAAATTAAGTATACAACTTTAATGCATAAAAGTGTTGATATTTTCTTTGAGGAAAGCACTTGATCGCTTCCACTCAATTCAAATTCAAACATGAAACAAAATTTAATGAAAAATTAATTTTAATTAATTAAAAAGCAAGAGAGTACATTTTCAAAGTAATAAAACTTTTAATACATTTTATCCATTTTTAATATATTGATATAATTTGAGGAGGTCATTGCTTTTTGTAAATATTTGCTTTCAATGCAATCATTTTAATAAAAAATCTTCAAGGTTTTACACAATATTATCTAACTTTTGTGAGTTGTTTGCATTTACTACAACACAATAGTATGCTAAATGTTTGCAATTTTCCTTTTTGTGATCTTAGAATTAGATAAGAATTAATAAATTTATCAAGGTGACCCCCAAAAACCGTTTCATTTTGAATACAGGGTGTCTCTTAAACACAGCATGGCTAGCCTTATTTTTTTATAGATTTTTCTTTTTTGTACTTTATCAATAATCTTATTCGAAATCAGGACTTTAATGTTGTGAATCTCTGGATCAAGAATTGATCTCGATCTTGTAAACTGACCTACGGATTAGATGTTGTGAATCTCGGGATCAAGAATTGATCTCGATCTTGTGATCTGACCTACGGAATAGATGTTGTTAATCTTGGGATCAAGAATTGATCTCCATCTTGTGAACTGACGACTTATTAGATGTTGTGAATCTCGGGATCAAGAATTGATCTCCATCTTGTGAACTGACGACTTATTAGATGTTGTGAATCTCGGGATCAAGAATTGATCTCCATCTTGTGAACTGACCTACGGATTAGATGTTGTTAATCTTGGGATCAAGAATTGATCTCCATCTTGTGAACTGTCGACTTATTAGATGTTGTGAATCTCAGGATCAAGAATTGATCTCCATCTTGTGAACTGACTTACGGATTAGATGTTGTGAATCAAGCATATATCCTCGAATTTAGAATTGCTCACATTGGATATCAAGATCAAGCGTTCAAGATTAGCAATACTACTCACAGAAGTTCCAACCTCTGTTCATGATGGAGGTTGATAACATGATTTTATCAGATTTAGATTTCATTCAACTTTTTGAAAATTCTGATAGAAATGTCTAAGATAAAAACTATGTCAAGATCAATTGATAAAAATCAGTCTGCACTCTGCATGTTTCTTTTTTCAAAATTGTCAAAGTTTAAAAAATTTTTTACATTTTTTTCTTCAAATTCTTTTGTTTCCATTCTATTTGATAATCAAAGTACAATTTTAATCTGCCTGCTGTAGAATTGAGTTTTCCAAGCTTTGAAGCTTCATTCATTCATATTTTTATTCAACTACAAAGCACGAGATAATACAAATAAAAAATCACAATTTACTATGTAGTTTGGACCCGCCTAACTAGAGTTGGTTGTTTTGATTGGTTGGACCATTGTAAGCGAATAAGAATTGTAAAAAAATAGATGGATGTACACTGCACAGTGTACATTTTAAACAAAACAATGATGATAAATCATGAATAAGGTAAGGAGG